TTCATAACATGTAGGTTAACAAAAGAAATGCGAAACATCTGAAAATCTGAAGTTCCGCATCGTGTCTTATGCTTCGTCAGTCTTTCAGTTATAAAGCCTATGAAAAAATATATTACAAAACTAAGGTTGTGTGGCGGTTATTAATTTTTCATTCATTGGAAGGCACATTAAACAGTAAGCAGATGTCTGAGTATTGGTAGTAGTATAATGCAACGTTAGTATTGGGTGCTTGACGGAAATCTGTATTCCTCTTTTTCAAATCACCATCAGTAAAGCACAGGCTTACCTTCTTCCCACAAGTAGTGTAGTGGGAATTGTTGTCTTCGGAATGTGGACGAGAAAACGCGGGTCATTTCTTTCAAGAAAAGCACATACCTGGCAGAATTAAGCTATGGTCGAAAACACGCAACAAACGTCTTTGCTGTGTCGACCAATGAAGAAGAAACATGGACAAGTTTCTAGAAAAAAGCTGAAAGATTAAGTCGCCTATCCTCACACAAGTAGTTAAGTGGATTTCATGAAAGAGGAAGCAAAATAACGGAATTAAATAAGTGTCCATTCCGCTTCCACAAAACATTCTTTTGTTCCTTTTATTCGTCAGTGTTTCTCATGTACACCTCAATATATATATATGTATATATATGTGTGTAAAGATTTCAGATAGAGTATATCAAAAAGGAGAATATGAATAAAGACAAAACGAATACCTACCTTAAACGACACGTTTCGTCCTCTCTAGGACTTTATCAAGGCAAATGCGAGGATTTTTATTTTGTAACACGTGTTTAAGAGCAAAAATGTTATTGTTTTTTCAAAAATTTTAAGTTTAGGAATACTCATAAATATTCATCAGGTTAGCTGAAAAAGTCAGGTAAGCTATGGAGGGCACGAAGTAATACAATTCAACGTCTAATAAACAAAAATGAATACGTGATATTTTAGTAATTTTATCCCAAACTAGAACAATTTAAATATTAATTTGCATATTTGTTTTCTAAACCATAACTTAATTGCGAGAACAATTTTTGTGTTTCTTTAACGCATGAGTTACAAGGGATCCTTTCAATCAATCTATCAGAAATTTTTCTGATTAAAACGAGAACTCCGATCACAACTGGAATTATTGATGACTTCATGTTTCATCTTTCATATTTTTTAGATTTCAACTTCAAGGTTCTTGTATTTTGAAGATCTTCAAAATTGCGTTACAGTCTAAAGAAACTGCCATGTCAATAAGATAGCATCTTTTCTTTATGTGCTCATTGACCACTACATCTGGGTGAGCAGCTTTGGTTCTTCTTTCTGAGTGTACTGTAAAGTCCCATGAAATTATTACAAGACCTATGTTTGTAACTAATTTCTTGTAGTTTCAGTCCAGTAAAAGTTGCCAATTTTCCAGTGGAGATATTGACCCAACCCTGTATAGACGGAGTTTTATATTGAGGGGATACTAATGCCGTGCAACGCGATACAAGATAGTCAATTATTTCTGGATATTCATCACTTTTGAATTTAGAGTTAACACAAGTTATTATCATTGTTATTCTTATTTCCTTTGATTTCTGGTGTGTACTCATTTCTTTCCGGGTCCCGCCAAGAGACATAAGGTTAGAAATGGCATCATGACACTTTCCACTGTAAAAAAAAAAAAAAAAGAAAAGAAAAGAAAAAAATATTTTACATATTCGTAAAGTGTGGGCTGTACTTGTGAGAACAATTTTTTGTATTTCTTTGAGGCATGGACTTCCAGGAATCCCTTCGATTAGTCTACTGGAATCTTTTCCAACCAACCCTAGGGCTCCAACTACAACAGGTATTGTTAATGTTACCATATGCCACGTTTTGGAGATTTCGATTTCAAGGTCATTGTATTTTGACAGCTTTTTGAATATCTTCAAAGATACATTGCAGTCTGCAGGGACTGCCATATTAATAAGGAGACACTTTTTTTGTTTGCGGTCTTTAATAACAATGTTTGGGCGGTTGGCTTTGATTGTTCTCTCAGTGTGTATTGTATAGTCCCATAGAATTGTAACAGGTCCTATTTCCGTAACCGAGTCTGGGTGATATTCATACCAGTTTCTTTCAGTTTCCTTCCCATAGAATTTGCAAAATTTCCAGTGTATATATTGGCCCACTCTGTCATGCTGGATTTTATACTCAGTGGGTGCCAATATCGCGCAACCTGATACAAGATGATGAATTGTTTCTGGATATTTATCACAGAATCTGAATTTTGGGCTAACAATATTTTAGTATATGTGCTTGATAATTCCTAGTTAGCAAGCATTGGTCCTGTGCAGCAATAATGAAACCTTCGGTTTCAGCTTCCAGCCCTGCACTACGTAGCCACTGATGGGTACGGGTTTTGTCTACGTCACCTTGTTTGGTACAGGCAGAGTATTGGTCATGAAGCGGTTTATCTTGTCATTGTTTCTGTATCTGGTCGGTTGCAATTGTCTTTGCTCTCTTTTTATGTATTTTGCAGATTCAGCCGGTGTATTGTGCTTATTATTATTATTATTATTATTATTATTATTATTATTATTATTATTATCACATTATTATTATTATTTTCAGTACGTCTGAATGATAACACTTAATGTCTGGTTGTTATTGCTAAAGACTACGTGACAGTAAATCTCCAGCACCTTCCTCGGTATTCTCATAATCTGCAGCAACACCATGGTCTGAAAAAAATCTGTTTTTCCTCGAATTTATTACGTATTTAATCGCAATTCTATTGCTTTTGACACGGTTACAAGAGAGCCTGGTATTAATTAGTTTTTACCTCGTTAGCTTTAAATATCTATAGTATTCAGTGGCTTTCAGTTAAGAGATCAGCTTACACCAAGCACGTATCAGTATTCTAACAGAAGTCATTAGGATAGTTTCTTCACTTTTCCTATTCCCGGTTATTCAGATTTTGGCAAGGCCCTTGAAGACAATTACAAGCGAGAATGGTGCACAGAAATGTCACCATTATATTCCCTTTATATTATTACACTCTTCCGCTAAATTTCAGAAATTATTTTTTCTCAGATAAGATCTTATTAATTAATGGATGGATAGCAAGCCACAGTCAGCAGCCTTAGGTATCATGGAATTTTCCAATGACATTTCCGGAATATTCTTGCCGTTCCTAAGAGGCTTCCTTTCTGTAACAGTTCAACGTGGCAATCAATGCTAATTTTCTTTGTTCAAGGTCTCCATTATCTCAGTGCACCAATGAGAACTGGTATAATGGTGACCTTTTTCAACTTCCAAGGTATTGCATGTTCAAACTTCAATGGAGCACAGTTGATTATCAAAGGGACACAATGGATCGCTGATTAACAGTTTTTTCTACTCTATCTTCCACCAATAAACCGGTTTGTTTCTTATATGATTGCATTGAAAACCCCGGCAGCATCTTGCTAGTTTCTTTGACTCGAAGACATTATTATTATTTTATTTCCTTTTCTGCTGTGTACACATTTCTTTCCGGGTCCCGCCCAGAGACCTAAGGTTAGAAATGGCATCATGACATTTTACACTGACAAAAAACAAAAAACAAAACAAAAAAAACATATTTTACATAGACAAAGCCCTTCGTAAGGCGTGGGCAGTACTCGTGAGAACAAGTTTTTGTATTTTTTAAGGCATGGGCTTCCAGGAAGCCCTTCAATTAGTCTACTGGAATTTTTAAAACCAATCCGAGGACTCCAACTACAACAGGGATTGTTGATGTTCCCATGTGCCACATTTTTGAGATTTCGATTTCAAGGTCATTGTATTTTGATAGCTTTTTGAGTATCTTCAAAGATACATTGCAGTCTGCAGTGACTGCCATATCAATAAGGAGGCACATTTTTTGATTGCGGTCTCTAATAACAATGTCTGGGCGGTTAGCTTTGATCTTTGTTGTTGTTGTTGTTCTTCTTCTTCTTCTTCTTCTTCTTCTTCTTATTATTATTATTATTATTATTATTTCTTTGGGTTTCTGTTGTATACACATTTTCTTCCGGGTCCCAACCAGAGACCTAAAGTTGGAAATGGCACTGATCATTTTTGTAAAACAAAACAACAAAAAACCCTAAGACCAAACACATTTTACATAAATAAAGCTCTCCATAATATGTGATCTGTACTTGTGAGTACATTTTTTGTATTTCTTTAAGGCATGAACTACCGGGGATCCCTTCAATTAGTCTATCGGAACCTTTTCCATTCAATCCAAGGACATCGACTACAACTGGAATTATAATTGTTCTTCTCATGTAACACATTTCTGAGATTTCCATTATTGTATTTTGATAGCTTTATGAAGATCTTCGCAGATATATTACAGCCTGCAAAAATTATCATGTCAATAAGAAAGCAGATTCAATTTCTTTTTTTTTTTTTTTTTTGTCTTTGATCACGATGTCTGGCTGATTAGCTTTGATTGTTCTGTCTGTGTGTATTGTTTGTTCTGTCTGTGTGTATTGTAAAGTCCAATAAAATTGTTACCGGTCATATCTCTGTAACCGGGTCTGGGTGATGTTTATACCAAATTCTTGCAGTTTTCCTTCCCAGTGCAGATATTGGCCCACTCTATAATGCCGAGTTTTATATTCAGTTGGTGCCAATATCGTGCAACATGATACAAGATGGTCAATTGTTTCTGGATATTTATCACAGAATCTGCATTTCGGGTTAACACAATTTTTCAGTATATGTGCTTAGTAATTTCTAGTTAGTGAGTGTTGGTCCTGTGCAGCTTTCGCTTTCAGCGTTCCACCCTGCACTACGTAACCTCTAATTTTTTTCTACATCAACTTGTTTGGTACGGCCAGAGTAATAGCCATGTATAGGCTTAAGTTACCATCATTTTTCTTCATTTGGTCTATTGGATTTGCTTTTGATTTCTTTTGTAGGCTCTTTGCCGCTGCGGAAGGTGTATTATTGTTTACTTGCACTTCTTTACCCACTTGAAGTTCCATTTTGAATCTGTTGGCTTCCTTTATTACTGGATACAGATTTTCTTCTTCTTCTTCTTCTTCTTCTTCTTCTTCTTCTTCTTCTTCTTCTTCTTCTTCTTATTATTATTATTATTATTATTATTATTATCTTTGGCTGTCTGTTTTGTCGTCCTGGGTATGACGGTAAACTACATCCGGCAGCAAGGTTTCTGATTGGGAGATTGGAGGTTTTGAAGAGCATGGAACCACCTCTTAATTGCTGTTGCATCCGTGTTCATCCTGACCCGGGGTGGTAGTACAAAAATCAACAATACAGTTTTATATTAAAATTACGAGCAATACATTTTTTTATAAGAACTTACCAACAATAGATATTTGTCCTAAAATTACTAGTAATACATACTTTACAAACTATATGTCTAAAGAAACACACATTTTATCCTGAAAATATAAAATTATGCACAAAAATTTAGATTTCGGCATTAATTAATCCATAGAAGTTGATATGCTGCTAAACAAAATCAACCAACCAACAAACAAGTATATGCACAAAAGCTGAGTATCATCTACCATGTATTCAGTTGTGAGAGCAGAATAACATATAACTATTTTTTTATAACCTTAAAACTCTCCAGAAAATTAAATTTCAGCATTAAGTGACCCATGAGAAGATGATATGCCCTTAGACAAACAAATCAATCTGTTTAGTAAAATCCTTTATCTAGGGTGAGGCAACGTAATAAATTTTAGCATTTTGTTTGTCCAAATTTTGATGTTAAGAAATACGTAAAGGCTGTATATTTTTCATGACTGGGATAATGCTCTCCTGAATAGATGAGCAGTTCCACGCAGGGCAATAAAAAAATCACTTGGAAACAGGGGCTGCCAAGGATCTTGTTAATTTTCAAGTCTCTATCTTTCTTGAACGTATGCATAGTTCGAATTTTTATAACCATAACTATTTTTAAGATGCCATATTTGTGCAATTTCAAGATCCTTACATTTACTTATATTACCATATTCCTTAACAGATATATTGTTTTTTTCTGACGGCACTGCCATTTCTATGAGAAGACATTGTTTTGTTTTATAGATTTTAACCACGATGTCTATTAGCATTTATATGTCTTTTATAGTACTATTATTATTATTATTATTATTATTATTATTTCAAACATCTGTATGCTCGCATCAGCGGTTTGCGGCTATTATTGTAGAAAGACTGACGTCAGGTCTTCTTAGACACTTATACGATATTCATGATCCATATTTATGGATCGTATTTGTTTTACGTGAGTAATGATTGCGCATTGATCTCACTAAACCCAGTTAAAAGATGGAGGTTAGTCGTTTAATATGATTCCAATGATTCTAATGTTCACAGTCTTCTCATCTAGTTCCTGACATTTTTAGCTATTTTTCGTTTTCACCCATGTCTCCGGTCTGACAGATATTCCTGTTCGCAGTTATCAGATTCAGTTTTCCTTCCGGGATGAGATGGCCGGCCGGTATCTCAAAGTGCCGGAATCTTTTACCCAGTTCATTTTCGAGGACAGTCACCGATTTGTGCTTATACCGTTATTTATATGTTCAAGCTAAAATAAAACTGGACTACGCCCAGTGAATTTCAATTACAATTATACACACATGCGCACGCGCACACACTCACACACACACACACTTATATATATATATATATATATATATATATACAAAAGGAAGTAAGTAATTTTTTTTATTTATTTGTCCGTTATTTTTTTATTTTTAGTGGACACTCATATTTGAAGAGACGCCCTGATTATTTATTAAACAGTATATATATTTTCGACTAACGGCATGAATATCCAAGAAATCTTATTCAATCGCACCGTCGTTAGATACGACGTGTTTTAATCGACTCGGTCACGACAGTTCCTTTTGACCAGGGGGATGCAGGTTCGAATACTGCTGGACGGGCATATTTTTCTTTCTTTTTTTATTTATTTCTTTTTTCTTCCTTTATTCATTTTTTCTTTTTTTTCTTCTTTTTTTTTCTCCTTTCTTTCTTTCTTTTTTAATTATTAATTAACCTTTCCCGCTTAAATACAAATCTGCTGTGCGATCCCTAAAGGATTTTAGAACACCACCTTATCACATGTGTGCATATTAGTGTCCATAAACCGTGACGCTAAAGCATTTTGACGGCCATTTTAGATTCGGGCAGCAGAGAATTTTTGCTACGGTTTGTCAGCGGGAACAAAGGAGGCCAATCGATTCGTTTAACTTTGGAGATGCGGTCGCTTCCGTAGATACATGCCGTCCGACATGGGACGCAATGATTAAATGAGAAGATATGCAATTACAGTCATCTGCTTGACCGAAATAATCTCCAAGCCCGAAGTGCATATTGCTCACACTTTCATATACACACTAACACACTCTCTCTTTCTCTGTGTGTACATACACATGCACAATGAGAGACATATATATCAATACTAACACCTAAAAAGAAAGAGAAACACAGACGCACACACGAATATATATGTATCTATACTCATAAAATACACAAATATACACATGCACATATTCACACAACTCTACACTAGATTAGAAAAAATCGGTCAAAATTTTTCCCCTACATAAAAATGCTCAGTTCTCTATTAATGGTTTTTTAAATGCCATCTCAAATGGAAACTCAGGCGATTGTGGCTCTCCACAATTTCCTCTACTTTAATACCTCACGGTTGCTCCTCGATAGAATAGTTGAGTTGTTTCTCTTTACCCACTCCACAGTTTTTAATTCAGAATTCAGCCAGACTCGTTGCCTTATCAAGGCTAGAGAGCAAAGTCTACTCTAATAATTTAACCCTTATCCTGAGGCGGGCAGATTCATGCTTTTCTCAAGGATATCAGTACGAATTTGTAAATGCAATAGCCTGAGCTGGAAATTGAACTTGGCTCTTGCTGATTCCATTTTCCACGTCACTAACCCATTAGCTATCTCTACGTCCTTTTAGATGTTACCTTTCTTTGAAAATTTCTGAACTGTACTGAATAACAGAAGCCGCATTACGGTGGTGGAAAAGTCACTGAAGTCGAGATGCCCAGTCAAGACCACTAACATTGCAGATTCTTCTTTGTATTTTATTTAGAATCTCTAAATACATAGCAGAAGCACCAAACCAAATGTTACAGTAATATTCAACGCATGGACAAATAACAACATTGTAACCAATGGCTTTTCTTGATGTCTCGTATGACGTCGTCTGATGTAAAATTCTTGGTATTTTTAGCCATGTAACATGAGTTTTGAAAAACAATATTGGTAATTTCCTTAAATTAATTATTAAAAATGTATATATTTGAATTCCTAGAGTAAAGAACAACTTATTTAAGGTAAGTTTTATGCTTATTATAAGAGCTTTAAGAATATATAGATACACTTACTTCAAACGTCATTTTTAGTGAATACTCGTATTTAACTAGGGGCTTCGTTTATTTTAAACAATACTTATTTCGTCTACCGGCTTGCGTACTCAAGAACACTTAATAAAAAATGTGGCACACACACACACACACACACACACACACACACACACACATATATATATATATATATATATATATATATATATATATATATATATATATATATATATATATATATATATAGGTGCATCAAAAATCAGTCAGTCAGTTATGTGCCATGCGTAATACACGCTTAGGCAATCTTTCGATATATGACTGAAGAGGTAGATTTGTTCCCGCAGTAAGTTGCAATTTCTTTCTGCGGTAGACCAGTTGCCATCCAAGGCTATAGAACCCGCTCTGTCCTGTTATTTACCCATAGCTGGTGGGAGAAGGGTATTAGCGCGTAAGTGAATGTAATCGATTCGACTGGAATTATTAAATCTAAACAAGGTCACAATAGATGGCGCTGTGTTTTGGATGAAGACTAGGTTACATTTGTCATTCGTGTACATTTGTGGTTAGTCTGACTTCATCATTTATCGTATGTAATAATGAATTAAATGAAAAGCGTTCCGATTTAAAATGGCAGGCTATTCATACCGTAAGCAGGCAGATATGATTTTTACAAACGGCCGCGCGAATGGCAATGCGCGTCTCTATCAGATTTCGTTTCCTACCGAAAGCAGACGACTCATCCAACCTTTGCTGCTGTTTATCGTCGCGTTGCTGAAACAGGATCCGTGACATCAAACTATGAGCCGAGGAAAACCGAAATCCGCTCGTACGTCTGGCCACGAAAACACATTCTACAGGCTGTCAGAGACGATCCAGGTATCAGCACACGTCAAGTTGCCTGAGCATGTCGTACATCTCATAGTACTGCATGGAGGGTACTTCAAGTGTATCGCCTGTATCCGTATAATTTGCGACGTATGCAGGGTTTTTCGCCCTCTGATCAATCACCACGGGAGAACTTTTGCCGATGATTTATGGCACAAACTGCCGAACCGTTGTTTGTCTCTTCAGTCTTGTTTATGGACGATGCAACATTTGCAAGGGATGGAATAATAAATGTACACAACCAACATTTGTGCGAGGATCGGGGTCCCCATGGTGCAATGCAAGCTAGACACCAGCATCACTTTATGATTAATGTGTCGGCTGGAATTGTAGGTGCTTGTCTGGTAGGTCTATATGTCCTCCAATCGCAGCTTACAGGAGCCGTCTACAGGGACTGTATTTCGTACATACTCCCAATCCTGCAAAAGGATATAGCCCTGCTAATACGAAGACGCATGTAGTTCATACATGATGGGACTCCAGTCATTTTAGCCTGTACGTTCCCCGACCACAATCCTTTTGATTTTTATCCTTGGAGCCACTTAAATCAATTGGTTTATGCAGCAGACATTAATGATGCAGAGGCCTTTCATTACCGTGTCATGTGGGCCGGCGAAACCATTCGAGACTGTGTGGGAGTATTTGACAGCGTCTGTCAGTCAATGATCCAACGGGTTTATGCATGGGCAAAAGCAAGCGGGGACATTTTGAACATTTGTTATGCGTTGCAGGGTTGAGGTACAAAAATGCCTTTTGATATATATATATATATATATATATATATATATATATATATATATATATATATATGAACTTTTGTCCTTGTTTAAATGTGAGGAACCCGTCCCCAAAGTTTGTAAAAGTATTTTTGATACACTATATATATATATATATATATATATATATATATATATATATCGTATTTGCCGATTTATTGGACGCATCCACGGATTGAACGCACCCAGTTTTTTGGCATGGAATATTTAGGAAAAAAATGCACACACCACAAGAAAAAAAAAATCAAAATTATAACCTTACCTTTATGTGACATTCTCACTAATCACGAAGAAACATCTACAGTATTAGCACAAATTATACTACTGATACGTTTTTTTTTAATATAAGTGAAGTAAGATTTAATTACTAGGATTTTTTGTTGGTGGGGGAGGAAAGAAAAATGTTGCTACATTTCATCATGCATCATTGAAAATTATTTTGAAAGTTGTTTTTCAGGGAGTAACATATGCACATATAGTAAGTTGGTAATAACCCCAAAGAAATCTACTGGTATCAGTGAACACAGAATTTATCAATTTCAATGTTTCAGTCTAATGAAAGGCACAAGAAAAGAGTCAGGGGAGAGTAGAAGGTATTTGTGCTAAAGGGAAGAAGTTTCATAAAATTAAACTCGAGTATTAACCTTATGACATTAATTTAGGATTATATGAAAAATGTATTATTAATTTAAAATAGGAATAAAAAGGGGTCTAAAAATAAATTTAAAATATATAGATAAAGGGATTAATAAAAAGAGAGTTGGAGGAATATTAAATTAGGGGAAATTTTATAAATATAGGGAAAAGAGATTATAGAGGGGGAATAAAATATAGAAATTAGAATTAATTATAATGTCGACATTTGAAGAGTTAGAGGGGAGTTAATATTATGGAAATAGGGTAGCTAATTAAGTTAAACCTATATTATGAAAATTTGAATTTGTTTTTATGTCGATATTTTAACACTAATTCATATATATATATATATATATATATATATATATATATATATATATATATATATATATATATATATATATCCGTATAACAGCAAAATTGTCCGAATCGTGTAACTGCGTGGGATAATTGTTCATCCCACAAAATGTTTAATATCTAAAAACCACGAAACTAATTAAATTTCTTTTTTCCAGTTTTTCAGATAAGACGTTTGGCCATCTTGACAACATTTGTCGTAAGAATCACTGAAAAACCTTTGAGTTATAGAGTGAGAAAGAGAATAGATTAAAATCGTTTTGTGTCAGCCCCACTACATCTTCCAAACTGAGCACTGGTGAGAGGAAACATATCATTCAGCACTTCAGTAATTCCTGCTATGAATTCCATCTTCAAAGTCCATTCAAGAATCATCAAGAGAACAGTGGATGAAATTTAAAAAAGTGGGAACACGAGAGAGGAAAACTGTATCAGGAGGTCACAACAGCAAGAGGTATCATCATTTCAACTTAGAGCTAAATGCATTGTTATTGTTCAAAGTAGAGTCCAACAGTGTTATAAAAACCTCGGAAAATTCCAGTAAGATATCTTTAATACTTTCTAAGATACAACGGTTCAGAGATTAATCTAAAAGCTGCACGACAAGAAATATATATATATATATATATATATATATATATATTTCATTCACAGACAGACTCTTACTGTATCACAGCCCATCAGAGTGGCTAGACGTCTGATCGCTTCAGGCCGGGACCGAAACCCAACCGGTTTGGTATCAGTCGGAGATTCTAACACTTAGGCAATCGACACTCGGCAGAGAGAAAGTCGAATTTTTGCGTATTTATTTTTTTTATAAGCATACCAGTCACTCAGAGAACTCAATCAGCTAGGAGAGTCTTGCATTATCTCCAGTAATAGTGACTGTTTACAGATTCGTTCCTTACTCCTCACAGTGCTCGATCGATTAAATTTTTGTTATCGAGAGCTAATATCGTCATCCACAGACCGACTGTTTCGCTGTATCAAAGATCATCATTAAGGCTAGACATCCGATCGCTTCAGGCGGGGAATATATATATATATATATATATATATATATATATATATATATATATTACAACATTTCAACATTCCTGGCTGCTTTATTATAACAGTGTGGGAGACTAATAAGAAAAGTGATGGAAACAAAATAAAAATAAATCTAAATGAAATCGACTAGATTGTCTATATATATATATATATATATATATATATATATATGTATATATATATATATATAGAGAGAGAGAGAGAGAGTGAGGGAGACATAGAGATAGATAGATAGATAAATAGATAAAGAGAGAGAGAGAGAGAGATTATACACGTTATATTTAGTTGGTATACATGTTTGTGCAGAAATTTTTAAAACAGTGATAGGTAGTCAGCTGCACTCCAAATTAACAGAAGATTAATTTATGAATTAATTTTACATTTAAAAAATCTTTACTCCTAGAAAGTTTGAGATATCAAGCACATAGCTTCCATATCGTAGTCAAGTCTTTGTCATTTGATACTTTAAACTGGGTAATAAGTTTAAAATTTAATGATTAATTTTTCCCTATTAAAATTTAAAATGAGCTCCAGATTTTTAGTTATTCTGCAAATGCACACCGAAGTAAAAAAAAAAAAAAGAAAGGTAGAGGAAACCAGAAAAGACATTCAAAAAATACACAAAAAACAAACTTAATAATAAAAAAATGTGTGCGTCTCGTGTCTGCCACCTCAGTGCCAAAAGATTTTTCCGGTTTAAAGATTCATATCCGTACAATGTACAACTGAGGCTTATGATGGCCCTACATGACCTCGAGGTGGCGGCCATTATTAATGAATACATGCATTCGTACAAAGTTAGCGAGACAGGTCAAAAGCTATTTATCAGACTGTTTCAATCTTTCTAAGAAGCTAGTTTTACTTTCTAAATATATACCTCCTCGTTAAGAGTCCATTATTTGCATGCTGTATTGCACAGATATATCATATTTTTTGTGTGTCACATGCAAGCCGAAGATTATTCTTTGATTGTAGCATATGACATAGAACAGAAATCGAGAATCATTCGAAGGAAAGATGTTCATGTTAGAAGCACCGGAACCAACGACGTCAAAATGTTATCAAAAAGCGATCGGACGTCTCTTTTTCATAGATGAATAAAAAATGATTGCTTGTTTGAACTGTTCATATATTTCTGAAAAACTTATAGCGTTTCTTTTTTATATTCTATACAAATCTATCTATCTATCTATCTATCTATCTATCTATCTATCTATCTATCTATTCCAATCTGTTCATATCAATAAATCTGTCTTAATTTATTTACTAGCACTTTTCGAGCTCATATCTTTCGCAGCCTCTTCATTATCTATACCAGTCTCTTTCTCTCTAATTTCCAACCTATGTTAATCTCTCCATTTTGTTTTTTTAGTATATCTATCTATCTATCTATCTATCTATCTATCTATCTATAATAAATATATAGAAACACTAAATAAAAAAATTTATAAAATTTTTCTTGGCTGTCATATATATATATATATATATATATATATATATATATATATCAGTCTATATCTGTCTCTCTCTCTTCACTATATATATATATATATATATATATATATATATATATATATATATATATATATATATATATATATATATATATATATATATATATATATATATATATATATACATATATATATATTTATTTAATTACTTTATGCATTTTTTATTTAGTTTCTCTAATATTCTTATATTTTACAGTTTGATGCGAATAAGAGACTGTAAAACCGTCCCTAGTGTCTATTGTCCCAAGTGCTTTCGGTCACTTGTTTAACCATTTTCAAGAGGGTTTCTTATTATGTGTTGTTAGTTTCTTTTCTAATTTGTCGGTTTAAGATATAGTTTTTGCTATGCCTAAATATTAATAGCGTTTATTTCGAGTCCAGGGAATTAAAATTTTTCCACATTGACATACAGTCACTCTTTCATATATATATATATATATATATATATATATATATATATATATATGTGTGTGTGTGTGTGTGTGTGTGTGTGTGTGTGTGATAATTATGTGGATTTTTCTATACTTTATTTTGTATATTTCGCTGCACGTGTCTTGTGACTCTCCTTAAAAAACAAACACACAAGAAACACCACACACCCGCAAATGAACCTTACGCACAGACACGAACACCATTCAAAGCCTGTATGTATTATATATATATATATATATATATATATATATATATATATATATATATATATATATATATACACGATATAGATTTCTTTATAATAATACAATGTATATGTATAGAGAACGAACATATATACACATAGTGGCAAACACACACACATAATATATACTAATAGAGGTAAGGTAGAACTAGATATAAAAAGAAAAAAGATATCCTCCTCTTTTTCTCTTTCTCTTTAACCGCCTCATGGTTAACTTAGATGGTCTTAGATGAGACTGAATGTACTTGGGAAAATAAAAATTATTTGAAAGAAAACTTTGCAATTTTTCTTAATCAATTTTCTACAGCCACCAAGAAATTAATTCGCGGACTTGAAAGGATTAAAACTAAGATAGATATAATATGTCTAAATTATTTATCCAAATATGCTTGAATGCATACGTATATAAGTATGTATATATATATATATATATATATATATATATATATATATATATATATATATATATGCGTGTGTGTGTCTGTCTGTCTGTCTGTGTGAGCGTGTGTGTGTGTATGCGTGTGTGTGTGTGTGTGTGTGTATGTACACACACACACACACACAGGGTGCGATGGATAAATTGTCGTCTAAATTACGTAAAAATGAAAATAATTGGTATATTTACCAAAATTACACAAACATATCTTGGAATACTAAAGACTAAACTTATTCAATAAACTTGACACTGACTTTAACCACGGCATCCAGACGACTTCGGAATTTCTTGCAACTCTTCTGGGCGATCTCCTTGTTTAAGTTGGTAAATGCATCATCTTTGGTGTTACAATGAGTTTTGTTGGTCTCTCGCTCAACTGCGCCCAACACATAATCATCAAGGGGTGGGGGGGGTTACATTCAGTCTAGGGAGTTGGGTGGCCGTATGTAAGTGGGTGATGTGATCGCAGAAATTGTCCGACAGCCATGACTGGGTTCTTCTGCTTATGTAAAATGGCACATAGTACTGTTGCCTGACATATGATCGTCAAGCAGCAACTCTCCTGAACAAGGGCATCACTATCTCCTTAAGGTTCTTGATATAGGGCTTCGTGTTGAATCTGAGGCATTGTTGGAAGACGAATGATGGCATCACGTCGCTATCATTAGTGATCACTCCCAAACATTATCGTAATCATCATTAGACTTATCCATCTCAGCACTGTACTTGGATTGACACTCAAACACTCTGAAACGTTCGAATTGGAGCTTCCGGAGCGAATACCAAGCAGTTCAGCATGCCGTTTCCAAATTCATGACGGAGGAAATAGCGCCATGATGCTCTTTTTATTACCTTAGTATACTGTTCAGTCGACAAAAAAAAACAAAAAAAAACAACGTTTGTTTGTTTACATAGACTTGCAGATATCTCAACCGCCCATACTCACACACATACATATGTACATAAGTATTATGTAGATATCTGAGAACAATTCCTATAGAAACAAAACCCATTAGATTTATTGTCAAGTTGTTGACATATATCGATGCAAGCCTACCACAGACATTGTTTTGGCACTGTGGTTCCGCTTCATGGGATATTTTTATAACCAAGGAGAAAACTGTGAGACACTACATTTTGTTTAACAGAAAAAAAACAAAACAACAGTCGCCATTTGTAAGGGCAAACTAAAACGCCATCTCAAAATGTCAGTAAATAGACAAAAATCTTATCCATAAAACCATCTATAGTTTACATCTTTAACTATAGAACAGTGACATCAGATACAGCGTCAACTAAAAGAAATAAGTTAGTTAATTAGAATTTATAGTTATTAACTGAGTTATTTTCAAATTTTCATAATATCTTAATGAATTTCACAATAAATAATGAATGTCACAATAAAGAATAAATGTCCTAATAAATAATGAATTCCAACATAAACAATGAATGTCATAATTATGCAATTATAATAAACAAGCATGTCATACCTATATAATCATAATGAATAATGAAAGTCATAATAAATATAGAATGTCATAGTTATATAATCATAAGGAATAATGAATGTATAATAAATAAAGAATGTCATAATAAATATAGAATGTCATTATGAATAAAGAATATCATAAGTAAATAAGCATAACAAATAAGAAAATAATAGTGAATGTCCTAATAAATAATGATTCTAATAAATCATACGTCATAATAAAAATGAGTATCATTAATATTGAAACTCATAATAAAAAATGAGTCAGAAATAATGCATGTGCTAATATATAATGAATTTCATAATTAACCAGGAATTTCATAAATCACACGTCATTATAAATGAATATAATAATGAATGACATAATAAATATAAGATATGATGTCATAAATAATTAACGTTTCTAATAAATAATGAATTGTAATAAAAGACATAAAGAATAATGTCATAAATAATGAACGTCATAATGAATAAGGAATAACTTCATGAATAATGAATGTGATAACGATGAATATATTAAACAAATAATATAAGAAATAACGAATACCATAATAAATAATAAATAACATAGTAAAGTCCAATTAACGCATTGCTTACGGCTACTAATTTCAGCTGTTGAGCATGCGTGGCGTGAATTTCATGAGATGAGCCCTTTTTCATACCGCACCGCAGACGAGGCAGGACGTGAATGCTCGCAGAACACAAGTATGACATGGACTTTACTTTACACTCTCTCACTCTTTCACTCAGCAACAGTGTAAGTTCAACCACGATCATTCTTTTTTTTCACGGACTATCGTGGGAACACACATGACCAGTGCAAAGTTCTCACCCTCTGCCCTGAATCTGATACGCTTCACCGAATCTATGATATAACTCCCCGACGAATTTATGATATTTCCTTTTATAAGGTAGTATTCATATAAAATACAAAAATTATTGTAACCTAATTATGTACAGTAATGGATCATATGCAATATCGGTGAACAATTCAAGTAGGAAAATTGAAAATAAATACAATGTATCTAAATACAAATTAGAAGCATGCCATAATAGATCATATTTTAACATCAACTTGAGATTTTTCATGTTAAAAAATTGAATCATTTTAACCCATTCAACATTATGGATAAAAAATAGTGAATTTTATATAGTGCTTTTTTTTTCGAGACTTATCATGAGTAAAACAAATTTATGGATTTGGACGAAAAAAGACCCCAGAATTACGTCAGAGTCCACGAAAATTTTCATCCTTTAATAGTCAGTTAATGCCTGTCAACTCACGACGCCTTCTCAACCTCAAAGCGTAATCAAAAAACAACGAACTCAACCATCAGTTTTATTGCTGAAAATGGAAACATCTACGCTTGGGTCAAACTGTATACAAATGATAGATTTTATCTTTTTTTAAAGCTTAGCTTAGGCTGACACAAAGTCGTAAATACATCCAAATATATATCCGAGGCGAGTCGACTCACTACACATTACAAATTGGCCTGCCAAATGATCTGATTTACAATTAGGCTCACGACATGGTGCCTAATTTAGTATTTTATATCGGCATTTTCTTATTTGTTCCTGTCTCTTTTGTGGCTAATAAACATATACACAATGATTACGTATATGATGGGTATTGTAGCATAGAAATCGATTTCTTCTTTGTTTTCGCCTCCAGCAAGTTCATATATGAACCTATCTAATTTTGTGGTCAGCACGCCATTCACAGGATCTATATCGTCTCCTAAAACGCATCCATATCTCTGAAGCATTGTGGCAAATCCCATCAGTACTGAAGAAATTGGCTGTTTACATAATTTATTATATTAAAAGCACTGCTAAATTTCTTAAACTAATATGTAAAAACTCACATACACATGGCTGGTTAATCTGGTAGAATTCCTAAGGCTTTCTGACTTGAATTATGAGTTGTGATTTAACCATCTTTTCTTGAAGCTGTCTTCATTACACCACACGTATATTTTTGCTATGTATCTTTACAAAGCCGAAGTAAAACACACAAATGGCCAGGGCAAAATATACGTACGGTGTACTGAAGGCAGTTTCAAGAAAAGTTTGTCTAATCACAAGTCATCATTCAAGCTAGAAAGCCTTATAAACTAGGGAGTCCTGTGTGGGAATTAAAAGAAAAAATAACAAAGATCCGATTGTAAACTGGAAAATATTAAAATAACAAACCTTACAACAATCATAATGAAACCTGCAAACGCTTCCAGAAGAAAAGGTTAACAATAATAACATTTCCAGACCAAAAAATCTACTGAATGAAATAATGACACTAT